AATTAATGCTAATTCAAATTCAAATTTTGAATTTGAATTGTCATTAATTGGGAGGATTAAATGATTAATTGATTTAAATCTGAAATTAAATTTCAGATTTAAATTAATGGTTATTGGCTTAATTGGAGGGACGAATTTAAGGAGTAATTAATGCTAATTCAAATTCAAATTTTGAATTTGAATTGTCATTAATTGTGAGGATTAAATGATTAATTGATTTAAATCTGAAATTAAATTTCAGATTTAAATTAATGGTTATTGGCTTAATTGGAGGGACGAATTTAAGGAGTAATTAATGCTAATTCAAATTCAAATTTTGAATTTGAATTGTCATTAATTGTGAGGATTAAATGATTAATTGATTTAAATCTGAAATTAAATTTCAGATTTAAATTAATGGTTATTGGCTTAATTGGAGGGACGAATTTAAGGAGTAATTAATGCTACTTCAAATTCAAATTTTGAATTTTTGAATTGTCATTAATTGTGAGCCTCTCTTAATTAAGAAATTTTCTTTATTCCAAGGAGGAAGAGAGGGGGAGGTAGGGGTTGGTGGGCGTCGGCCTAAGGGATGGCCGGCGGGTGAATTTTTGGACGGGCCAACAAGGCCGGTGGCAAGGAGAACTTGGGGAGGAAAAGCCCGAGCTTGGTAGAGGATGAGAAGTTTGGGGAAATCTAGGAATTTCTAACCTCACGCTCTTAAACTTCAAAATCTCAAAGGAGATTGTAGGGATGTCGGAACTGACACAGAGATCCACGAAACTCTTCTCAAGAACTCACAAAGAGATCTTGAGAATCTCAGAACTCACAAAGAGATCCGCGAAACTCTTCTCAAGAACTCACAAAGAGATCTTGGGAAAGTCGGAACTCACAAAGAGATCCTTCTGAACTCACTAAGAGATCAACACGAAAATAAAATTTTCCATTATCAATAATTCATCCTCCAAATACAAGAGAAGGGGCTTCTATATATAAGCCTCAAGAGATTAAAAGACACATTCGCCCCTTGGGCTTACATAAAACAAGAGGGTAAAATGAGAAATTGCAAAACTAAATTAAAATACACTTAATAAACGAAAATAAAGCAAAGTGATCTCGGTCGTCGATCTTCAGCTCCTCAGATTGGCATGGACGGTTGGATGTCCGCATCAATCGCGTCACCCGTTTTTACTATTTACCACGCGCCCCGACAACCCGACTCGGAACGGACCCAGGATTGCTCGGTATTTCTCGATTTTAGCTCGGTATTGCTAGGTATTTGTCGATTTTGCTCGGCAATAACCAATACCGAGCAAATACCGAGTAATACCGAGTTGTACCGAGTTGTACCGAGTTTTTCTAGAAAAATTCGATACAACTCGGTATTGCTCGGTATTACTCGGTATTGGTCTTCACGTAGCAGTATTTCTCATTATTGCCAAGCAATACCGAGCAAATACCGAGTTGTACCGAGTTTTTACCTAGCAATACGCTAACATAGCATTCCCGGGTTCCGGACCGGGTCAAGTCGTTGAGCCGCGCGGTAAAGAGCAAGAGCACGCGCCGACATGTTATTGGCGGCCGAACGTAGCTCTACGTCCGGCCAGAGGACGTAATAATTGTTCGTATCAGATAGGCTATAATCATCAATGAAATCAGCGGTAGAAGACAATGGGGATTAGCTCATAAAAAATGTTCAGACATAAAATATTACATACCTTAGCAAAATACAATTAATGAAAGCCTCGCTCAAGTCCAAAGCTTGAAATAGATCAAACGAGCTGCTATTATCCAGTTCCTAACAAAATTAGCGATCAAGGAACCAAAAATGAATGTTATGCACCATATAAACAATTAGACTTGTATATGATTCTGTGCCGAACCAAAGTCATGGCCACTTTGAAGGGTGTTTTATTCCCTACTCAAAAAGATTTTGGCTTCGTTTGGGACGGCTTTCTTACTACTTCTTAAAGTTATTTTCTAGTATAAAAATTAAACTATTAAGCAGTATTAAGAAGCAATAAAAAAACCGTCCCAAACAAAACCTTTATCTTCCTTCTTTCAAGGGAGCGTTACAAAAGCACGATTAATAGTCTGTCGAATCCTAAAGATGAACCGTTGAAACCTTTTGCACTAGTAGTTCTACTCAAAGGGTGAAAATCTAACTTTGAGGACACTTTCGCACGACTTGGGCAATGTAGATAAGTTTTTTTCCCTCAAACTCTTTATCAGAAACATGAGTAATGTTTTTCAACAATTAGCACAATTAAAAATAGTCAGAGTATTTACATGGATAAAGGTAATAGCATTCTTCTTTCCCTTTTCTTAGCAAGCTGTCTCTGCCTAGATATCCACAGGCAGGTAGGAAGAAGAATTCCCAAAAAAATACAAAGAGCGGAAAGCTTATGAAATTTTAAATGCAGGCTAACAAAGGCGGATAAAACCAATAAAAGAAATAGGAAGCCCCATAGAATAGCTTTCGCGATGTCCTGCCTGCAAAATACGGGTAAATTTCCAAGCTAAGAACTGAGTAATAGGTACAAATGCTGATTCTAAAACAAAGAGAAGCAGAGGGGAAAAAACTTTCATGGCAAAGAAGAATGTACCAAGGATAACAAAATATAACAAAAAAAAAGGAGAATTTTCTGATTTACAGCTTCTCTTACAGCAGAGCACATGTGTTTCAAAAAGCAGAGAAACATAAGTTGATGATACATAAAAAGGGTAAATCATTCTTCCTTTTTTACTAGTAAAATTTCCTCATGAATCAATGAGAAAAAGGTTTATCACATTCTATATGGAGATCCTCTTAAAACTCAAATTAGGCTTTAGCCGGATCAAACATAATAAGAAATTGGGTGTAGCATGGCATTTATGACTAGAAGCAACATTAGGACCACACTGACTACTGACTTAAGTTTTGTTTGGGAAAGCTATCTCACTGTTTTTTTAAGTAACTTTTAAGTACAAAATTTTATTTTTCAAATAATTTTTGTATTAAAAAGCTATTTTATAAAGCAGTACAAAAGTACAAAAGCTATCCTAAACGAAGCCTTAAAAAACTCTGAGGCTGCTTGACCTGACGCAAGCAAAAAAATAAATAAAATGCAGTTCAGTTGCCCACCGAAAATAGGCACTTCAAAGATAATGCGCAAGCACCTTCAAAGCTTAGCTAAGAAGATCTAGTAACTTTGATTTTTTAGATTGCCTAAGGGGTCAATGCCTCGTAAAATTACAAAGAGCTAGACGAAGGAAATTAATGAAAAGCTCTTGCAGAGAGTGGCAGTTTTATTGAGCTTTTGATGACAAAATCCTTAATTCTAATTAAGTAATGTTAATTATTACTCAGCATAAGTGATTAGTTATCCAACTAATTAAGGCTAATTTTCCTAATTGATTTAGTGGTTTTAGCCTTTCTTTATATAAAGTCATTTTATATGGTTTAAAATGAAATAAAATAAAAATAATTAAGGGTTTTACCAAGAACCAAACAAGGCTCATTGGTTGGTTTGATCAATGTTGCCTTCGCACATCTAATTGATTTTTCACTATGCCTCTCATTGCAAGGAAGATCAACAGTTCAAACCTATAAAACTGCTACCCACTTCTCCTTTGTGATACAAGTCGACAATCTTCAATTATGTCTTCCATGCCTTTGATGCTGACGTGCTCATCCCCTGTTGTTGTGAACCCAATAACAACAACAACAACATCAAGCCTTTATCCCACTACGTGGGGTCGGCTACATGAATCCTTTTTCTCCACGCCGATAAAAATATAAATCTTTATTTTCATTTAGGGTACTGAGGTCATTATAGTCAATCTTATATTCATAATCTTCATTAAAAAGTTTAGCAAAATATCTCATCCATCTTTGTTGAATATCATCTTCTAAGAAAAGTATTTTTTGATCTTCATCTTTAATACACTTCACTTGAACTAAATCCTTACTACTCCTATCTCTTTGTTTGGCTAACTTATACATATATCTTTCTCCCTCTTTAGTATCTAATCTATTATATAAATCACTAAAAGCATTATGCCTTTGCATCGCATATTACTTTTTTAGCATCCTTACGAGCCACTTTATATATTTCCCAATTATCATAATTTTTAAAATTAAACCAATTTTTATAACAAAACTTCTTATTTTTAATTTTTTCTTGCACATTAGGATTTCACCACCAACTATTTTTACTATTAGGAGCTTTTCCCTTTGATACTCCAAGGACATCTTTTGCAATATTCTTAATATCACTAGCCACTTTTTCCCATATAATATTAGCATCCTCATGCACAGACAAAATCTTAAGATCTAAAATCTTATTTCTAAAAATATTTTTGTTAATATTCTTTAAATGCCCCCATTTAATCCTAGAAAATTGTTTTACTTTATTTTTTATTTTATGCCCCTTTAACTTAAAGTCCAAAACTAATATTCTTTAAATGCCCATTTATTGTTGTGAACCCAATAACAAGTGTGGAAAAGAATTAGCCCCACAGACCTCTGTACGATTACGGATTACCAATTAGTTTCAGTGTCCAAATGCATTGCCACCAATGTAACTGCAATAATCAGGATAGCCAAATCGAATTCCAAACTGATGATGGTCACAAGTGGGTTTGGTTCCAAACCAAATTCTAAAACTGCAAATTGAAACTGAAGCCTTAAAATCTACAAACAAATCGAACCAAACTGAACAACTCACAGCTCAATCCCAATTTAATTTTTAGCAATCGCAAAAGAAAAAACTATTCTCATATAATATGCTTCAACTATTCCTAATCCATATAAAAAGAATGGTTATAAATTTATTTCCCCGTGTGCCTGCATTTGTGTGTGTGTGTATATATATATACATTACCGACAAATGCATCAATAGTAAATAAAGTTAACATTTTAATGACAAATGAAAGGTAATTATTTTATATACCCTCATAATATAATAATTATTTGCTAAATCAGTTTCGTTCAATTATTTTCATTGTTTAAAAAGGCAATTGAGGCGTACGTCTCAAGACGCGACTAGATTCGAGGCGCAACTTGGACGCCTAAGCCTAAATGAGTCGAGTGAGGCTTATATTTTTTTTACACGAGGCATACGCCTTGGGGCAGTTTGAGGCGCCACCTCATTTTATTTGAGTCTTTCTATTTATAATTACACGCAATCGGTCAATTGCGAGCATAATTTTAGGGCTTCATAGCTGCTTCGGCTACGCCTGGTTCGTGTCAACTATCAAGTAGAGTTTTGAAAGAGAACTCCAACGCTCAAAAGTTGAATCAAGCAGGAGCTCACAACAAAGGTAATAATTTTCTTCCCTTTCGAGCATTGCTTCAGCTTTGCCTGCTTTGTGTGAAGTAGAGTTCTGACAATGGCATTCTGATAAGAGCACACAATGAAGTAACGATTTATCTTTCCATTTGACCACTACTTCGGCTTCGCCACCTTCATGTGAAGTAGAGCTTTAAAAGAGTCAATCCAACTGGAGCTCATAGCAAAGGTAACGATTTCTTCGTATTCGGCCACTACTATTTGTAACAGGACAATACTACATTTTGGTTGAAAGTTACTCAATAAAAATAAATTCCTAGGGTCATAGAAAGTTATTTGTCATCATCCTTCTAATTAGGGCTGCAAGCGAACCAAACGTTCGACGAACTACTCGTTGTTCGGTTCGATTAAAGCTCGTTCGTGATCGTTTAATTAACTAACAAACAAACTTGAACAATATTTTAAATACTCGATTCTTAAATAAACAAGCTTGAACACTAATGCGTTCAGCTCGTTTATGTTCGCGAACAACATCAGTTGATGTTCATGAACAAGCTCGATAAAAAGCTCGATTCGAGTTCGATTAAATATAAAAACTTTAATTATACCATAATATAATATAATTATTTTTTATTAATAAATTTTAAAGTAATAAAATATTATAACATATGTTCATAGAAATTAATCATATTTTCATTTTAAATATACAACTGCTTTTATTTTAGAAATTTCATTTCATGAACAAGAAATATTTCATATTTGTCCATGTTTGTTAGATTGTTTGTTTAGAATGTTCATGAACAAATTTAATATTTGCTTGTTCAATATATTGTTTGCGAGATATGTTCATGAACATAGCTCGTTTAAAGCTCGATAAGTACTAAACAAAAGAACATGAACCAAACATGAACCAAACATGAACACCCTTAAATTAAACGAACCAAACATGAACACAAATAATAAAGCTCGAATCAAACACAAACCAAACATGAACAAGCTAATGTTAAACAAACACAAACATGAACACTCACATACTCGGCTCGGCTCGGTTCGTTTGCAGCCCTACTTCTAATGTGTTGTTTTTAGATTGCTACTTTTCAGTCTTAGGTGTTAGTTTTCTATTGGGAAAAAAACATAAATCAATTTTAATCTGAATTACTTCTATTAATTTTAAATTGGATTTTATTCAATTTATTTTAGCTTTAAAAAATATTTCTATTATTAATTTTTTTATTTAATTTTGCTTTTTGCCACCATAATTGAAGAGAAGCAACTATTGGACAAAAAAATGCAGAATATTCGTTAAGAAAAATTACATGTGATTAATTTACTGTGAAAACTGACTATTGGAGTTAGGGAAAGATATATACAATTATGATACGTTTGAATTGTCTTCTTGATCAAATTGTCAAAGAGTCAAAAACAGCTACTTAAATCAATGAATTATAGATTGAGATTTTCAAATTTATTTACAACTAATGCATTGTGAGTTTGGATATGAAATAAGCTGATGAGGACATCGTCAGCATTTTCGACGCCAGAGATCGACGGCCACAAGCATGACTTGTGTTTTGTCATTTTATGTAGTAGCGTATTTATTTTGATGTTTTTTCACTTTTGCCCTTATGGGCATTTAGTCGCTTATGTAGCCCGGAAGGGCATTTGTGTCATTTCTTATTTGCTCATTTTGGCCTATTTATATGAGGCCGCATGCATTGTAATGGCAGTTTTTGATGAAATGGAATTTGCCACTTATGTTCTCTGTGTGAGTTCACCCTCCTCGATCTCTTAGTGAGTTCGTAGGAGAAAACTAGATCTCTTAGTGAGTTCTAGATGTTCTTGTTATACTACTTCCATTTGTTCTTTGATTGTTTCGTTAGCGTGGAGATTTGGATCCAAGCACTTGTGGAAGTTTGGAATTCCCGTTGGAATTTCCCCAATATTTTGTTTTTTCTACTGTTTTCCCTTCCCTATGTTCTGCCGCCGCCCCTTCCAGGCAGTTCAGCCGCCCACCGACCTGCCACTGCCCCGTCTCCAGTCGGCCAGCAGCCTTGTCGCCACCTTCCCCCTCGCCCTCCCAGGCCTCTGGCGGAATCCCCACAGCCGTCTCTTGGGCAACCGCCAGGTCTGTTCCACCGTCCAGGCTTGGCCGCACGTTCAGGTGGCTGGAGTCAAAAGCCTGGCCTGTCCCGCCACTTCCACCCACAGAGTTCCCAGTCA